CCTCCCACTGAAGTTTCACCAGTGAGACATTCATTCACCTGGCGCAATGTTGCGTTCCTGTGACACCTTTCCTACCGCAGGGCCCCAAAGCGGATCTCTTGCGCGAAACGCGCAAAGCGCATAGCTTATGGATAGCGCATAGTAGGCCAGAGACAGAAACAAATGTTTGAATGCGTATAGCCATGCCCGCTATACTGGGCGGATTGGGCTACACACATCACAAACCCATGTGCTCTTCATAGGTCACATGCATTTATGCATAAATGCACATGCATTTATAGGTCACATGAACGTATACGGTCAATAAACAATGGATAGACGTTACTAATTAACGAATTCACGTGCCATAGGAAATTGCACGGAAATATGTCCTGAATATTTTTAATCACGAGACTCATATCGGCCTCGTGACGATCATCAGTCGGCAATGGGGCTTGATTCTCCCACTGCTTTACCGTGGATTGCACGAATTTGTCATTAACCCTTTCGGACCTGAATTTTTCCCCGTGGAGAAATTTTTCTTCTAGCTATTGTTTATTACTTGTGAGCATATAGGTATCATTATGGCGAAATTTGGAAGCTATTCGATCACAAACAAAGAAACTAAGAAGCTTTGAAAATTGGCCCACCTTCTTAGTTTTTAAGCTTATGTCGAAACAATTCGAAATTTCATAGTTATGCCGAAAAAGTTTATAATCTTGCATAACATTATAACCCATAATTTTGATTTAGGAATGGATCTACTTCAAGTATTTTAAGAAAAAGTCACACTTACTTGGCCGGTTGCGGGGGTCAGCGCCCATTCATTGTTGCACTTGTACACAAATACTTGTAATACTAACAGCAACACCCAATGAAATGGCAGGTTAGCCCATAATTAGGAAGGGGAAGGTTGACTGAAGCAACCTCTAGCAGGATTAGAAAAACCATGCTGTTTCAGCACGGCAATGCAAACATTTGAACTTGATGGTGGCAATTGCCACCGCCAGGGCCGAAAGGGTTAACCAGCGACAGATGGGCCTGCCCTCTAGAGGCATGACCCAGATCACAAGTGGCGTGCCTTATGCACATTAATTCGATCTGGGAGAAATGGCCGAACTGAAAATAGGGAAAGCATTCGTTGAAAAGCGTTTACAATGAGGCTTACTTCACGTCTCAATATGGGCCTGTAATAAAGGACGAGAAAGACGACGAGACTTATACGCTGAGAGAAGAGTATGAGAAAAGGGAGCGCCAGTTGAGAGGGCACCAGACAAGACCATGATGAATGAAAAAAAGCAATTGCTCCCAGCTCACTTTGCAAGAAACTAGCCGCCTCTGTTGTCCGGTCCCATTTCCGTGCACGAGAAGCCAATCTTCCCACACGACTTCTGGCCTGTTGTGGCCTCAAGGACTATCGAACCAGGTCAACCTAACGTTGTTACGTTGTTACGAGTAAACAACGGGGGGTCGTACTCAGTTGAGCTTGGAGGGGGGTCGTACCCTCTCGGTGGCCGACAGTGGGATTCTTGGTAATATCGGATAATAGCCAGCACGTTACGTTTTCGTAAGATGACTGATACTAGAGCATCTATAAACAACGCTTCCTAAACAACTTCCAAATTCGTAAAATTGGTCTTCCAAGAAGTTACGGCAGTGAATCCTAAAAGAAAACTCGCGTTTTCGAGAAAATGGCTTGAAGAATACCCCTCAAAATAAAAAGTAACAACGGGACTAATTTTTGAACTGCTGATCTTTCAGGAACGCTTGGGTGCTCGTTAGAAAGCTTGAATCCTGTAGTTTATTATACGTGTTCAGCTTCCCAAATGAATGACTTTGAAGGAAGTTATGATCGTTTGAAGGTCAAAAAGTCGCTTTGCACAGAAAAAAGTAACAACGTACTAAATTTTTATTAAATTAACTTTCGAAGAATTTTTACCCATGGTTGGAGAGAGAATAATTTGAATTTTCCAAATCAAATCACTTCGGCGCAGAAGCTCGAATATGAAGGAAGTTATAGCCCTAGAAAGAGGAGTGTAAAAATCGTGTTTCAATTTTATTTTTTGCCCTAATAACTTATTCATTCCGAAGTGTTTGAGAACAAATGAGCACTCGTTAGGAAGGAGGAGCCACATCGATCCAAAATCCACCTGAATCTTCCGAACTACCTGAAATGTAAAAAAGAAAAACTCCTCGAATTTTCACACTCCCCGTTCGACGCCTCTTCACCGTGAGCAAATGCGCTCCACCGTCAGGAGGCTAGGGACTTACGTAGCAATAAATAGTGATGGCAACACTGCCTCTACACAAGTGTTACATACAAGGGGGGGGGTCGTATCAAATCACCCATGAAGGGGGGGGTCCCCCCCCCCCCCCCCCCCGTAAAAATTTCCGAACAACATAGGGTTTGACCTGATTCGAAATACCGAAAAACTGGATGAATTTCCAATTCACGTAATTCTTTTCTCGCAATGATCTGACTCGGCGCAGTTGTTGAGGTTAAGCTCAACTTGAATATAAGGAATTTCTGACACATGTATACAACATTCGGTGTCGACAATCCCCTTTTGAGATGCGCCACGTACTCCACCGTTTAAAACGAGCATGCGGCGTCTTGTCCTACATTCATGAATTCTTGAGAGGCCAAACAATTCAACGTCAGTTATTTGGCCCGCTACCCAAACTTAAATCTGATGCCAATCGAGTGGCCATGATATAATTGGAGGCTTTTTTAGGATCCCTTCAGCGTAATAACTTCGGTTTGGGTGGTAAATGGCGTCATTTACTTTTCGCGATTTAGGTAGTGTTTTGATTTTTTTTTCGAAATAAACTTTTAGTGCCTCTTTGTGCAATTCATCATTCAAATCCAATTTGCTCATTATTCGATTTCATCATTCATATGTTCATCATTCTATCTCGGGACGGCGCAACAGTAAGTAATCGTAGGACACTTGGATGCAAAGGAGCATCATACGGGGCTTTGTGGTGACAATTCATTTGGAGCGAGTTACATAGAATTTGGATTGGTCTTATTTGAAAGTGGGAATCTGAATAATGCTCCAGGACGAGAAATGCAAGGATCTGTCAAACAGAGCGCAAACATGAATCCTTTCTTTGACACGTATGACGCCCGAAATGCGAGCTAAGCACCACACTTGAGTCGTTTGTGATAACCAGTATCAACTACATGCACAGAATTGATAGCGAATTCTATGGCAAATGTTAATAGGGATCACACTCAAAAGTGAATAGCTCATACAAATGAATAAAAGAACACATATGTCTTAACACGGACTGGCGCAACACAGGCGGCGGAGGCGGAGCTGAGGGGGATTGGAAGCCCCAGGACGCTGAACTACCGCGCCTTTGGCCACGAACAGGCCACATCTCGCCTTCTTAGGCTCGTGATCACTGCCTTCACTGGTGCATGTACTTCCATGTTTGCACACACACCCGCCTCCTAGCACTTCATTCGAATCTATCCGCCGCTTTGACATGCATCCAAATAGCCCCATCGCACAGAATACAATGCCATTCATTCCTTGGAATTGCTGACTCTTCCTAGACTTCCGAGGGAGGTCTTTCAGGGCATGAAGCGCTTGTTCGAAATGGTTTCTGCATGCTGTGGGGGCTCGAGGAACACAGAACCGTGATCCATTTCTCCTGAACGCCTCAGAAAATTTCACAAAACATTGGCGAATAAATGTAAAAAAAAGAGTTCGATCCACGGTGATGGTTCCCCAGTTCTTGCAACATATTTTGGTGCCCCCAGATTGCTGCCAATTGGCGCACAAATGTCGTTATGTCGCGTTTTGCGACAATTTGAAGGTGCCAAAAAATTTCAAAAATCTGTTATCACGGAGGATCGAACCTTCAAACCATTCTTCCTCGCTGCTTTGACATTCCTGGGAACAATCAGGAAAAATGGACCAAACAATGGACGCCTCACTCGAACATGTCTTCGGCCTATCCGAAATATGTGGACGGTCTCGTCGGCCGTAAAGAGGACTAAAGGCGAAAGTTCGAAGCTTGAGAAGCCCTTAACGTGACTAAAAGTGCTAGAAGCGCAAGTGCAAAGGTAGCGCCACCTTTCTACATCGAAACGCGTCACTAGGACCCTAGGCGCCATGGACTTCTAACAGACTCCACCAAACTTAACATGGTCCGCCCACCGTTCGATATCTTGTCTGCGTCGCGTTGATCTGCTATGCTCTCTCTTCTCGGACTTCTCTACCGCTCTCCGCGCTCACATTATCTCTCATCTCCCTGCCGCCTTTTGAACTTCTCCGCAGCGTAGAGCAAAATGCTCGTATTTCCTGTGTATTTCACGATTTTTTTCCTTTTTTCTCCACTGGCGGTCCACCTCCCTCCCTACTTTCACATTTGAGTGGAATTACCTCATCAATTAATCCTGATTCTTGCCTTTAACACGTGATTTGTGCCGAAACGCTTCTGTGAGATCTCAGGACTGTTTTGGTGAGTAGCCTTATATACAACCTCCCCTTCAAAAAGCGAGAAAGTGTCGGGTGCAGACCAAACACCACAACTGACGACGGCCTCCAAGTAAATCTGGTTAGAAGTTGTTCATAGTGATAGCTGATTTCTGGTAAATGATAGTTGTAATTAGTGACAATCGATAGAATACAACTGCAACAGGCTAATCATTTCATTGGCAGAAAACATTAACATTTTGTGAAGGCCGTCGTCACTTGGTCTGCACCCGACACTTTCTCGCTTTTTGAAGGGAGGGTACGACAACTGTGAGTAGCTATTTAGAAAGTCTGCACGGTTAATGGGAGAAATGAAACGCTCTCAACCAGCCATCAACCAGCCACTTCTTCAAAATGAAGCTCCTTTTTCTGCTCCACTGTAAACAAACTAATCACAATATATAAGTCTGGATTCTCAGCAGTAAGCACCATTTGGACCTCAACTAACAAAGGAAGCTTCTACTGGTAGTGAGTTCCTCGGTTGTCTCTGAACGCGTGGACTCTTGAACAGCTGAACACTTCCTTTTTCAGAAGATGCAGTGTGACCAGTTAAAAAGAGAACCAGAGTTGTTGGGCCCGGCAGGTGGAGGGTCCGTTCCGAAGTCGCCGAACGATAAAGTAGACGCTAATGAAGCTGCTGACAAGGCAAAAACAGCTGAATCCCCTGCACAACCTATGGCAGCAAAAGGGAAACCTGGAGAAGGTGTCATGGCGGTTCCCTACAATGACAGTTCATCATCATCAGAGAAGAAGAAGAAAAAGAAAGTTTTCGTTCGAGAAAACAAGAGAGAAATCAGCAGGGACGAGGGAAAGGAAGGAAAAGATGGGAAGATCGGGTCACAGGAAAAACAAGATAAAGAAAAAGAAGAAGTCAATAAAGAACCAGGAAAAGAGGACACGGGCAAAAAGAAGACGCCTAAGACTGACAAAAAGAAGCACCACAAGAAAGAGAAAAAGGATAAACATGTAAAAGAGAAAAAGGAAGAAGAGAAGCATTCCAACGTATTCGATTACAAACTAGCCAAAACACAAGATCCTGATGAGGACGCAAAGTAAGTTCATCATATCGATGACCGATCGAACCTGTTCAATATTGAGGTTTGCATGAACTCCCCTTAAACTGGTTCTTTCAGAGCGGCGTCGAAGAAGAAGGATAGGTGGGTTTGGCTTGAATTTGTGAATTCTCGATGATATCATTCCGCACATGCGATAGCATGTACATATAAGGCAGCGATTGTGAGCAATTGAACGCCCTAGACTTTTGTTCCTAGCGCAAGGGTTGGTAAGGAAACCTCAACAGCGGTCTAAAGAGTCGTTAGCATCTCATTAGGCATCAACCCTTTACTGTTGTTCTGAAGAACATTCTTGGAGTCACGTCTTGGGAAAGAATTCGAACAGGGATTGTAAACGCGATGATAGGTGACACTAAAATGACTCCAAGTCGAGGAGAAACAAAATAGATCACATCTCCCGTAATCATCCCTATCCGATGTTAAGTCTCAGCACCACCACCACTCTCTCCCGCCCCCCCCCCCTCCCGATTCTGATCCGCCTCACTCCTGGAATCGTCACGTTGAGAGATCGCGGCGGTAGAGTGACATGAGGGAGCAAGCGCAGACGGAGGAGAGCTAGTGATTCAATCCTTTCTCAAAAAATCTCTTACTCATTCACTTAGGCTTTGTGTCCCAGGTCACTCATTTGAATGCCTCCTCGCTAGTTTAGTTATTTGTCCTCGATTCGGTGCTGTTAGCTGGGCCGATGCTCCCAAGGCTGGAGCGGAGGTGAGAGGGTATAGAGACCAACCGCCAACCAAACCAGTTACCAAATCAGTGCTGAAAAATCATTCTAATGGAGCGTTCATAGTTGGCGATCGTACGTGCGATTAGGCGATTAGGCGATTAGGCGATTTTCTATAATGAAAAGTATAGATTAGGCGATAGGCGAGTAGGCGATTAGGCGAGTAGGCGATTAGGCGATTAGGCGATCGCTCAATGGGCGGAGCAACAAATCAATACGTATCCTTCTCTTATCGCCTACTCGCCTACTCGCCTAATCGCCTACTCGCCTAATCGATTCGTATACTTTTCATTTTGAATCATCGCCTAATCGCCTAATCGCCTAATCGCACGTACGATCGCCAACTATGAACGCTCCATAAGAAAGCGTTCAGAGTCGGCGATCGTACTTGCGATAAGGCGAGTGCGAGATTAGGCCGTCTTATCGATGCGCATCCCTTCTGTTGAAGGCTAATCGCCCAATCGCGTGGACGATCGCCGACTCTGAAAACTGCTCAACACAATCTTATGACTGTGGTGACACCCTTCCCTACTGCACAAAATAGCCTTTTTAACATACGCATCGACTCCACAGAGTGACGACCTACCCGGCGCTCCGTTCTGTGTTTTCTGGTCTGTTCGTTCAGATCACCGTGAAATTTCTTTGTCGTGTGAGAAAGGAAAACTGATATAAACACTGCATTTTACTGGAATTGGTCAATTTTGACAAACTTGTAAATAATAATTGGACATTTAGTTCAAAAACTCGTAAGACCGAGCAATCAAAAGCGAAAAGCAAAGGAAAAGGACCGCAGAAGACTCCTAAGAAAAATGATAAGAAGGGCAAGCTTTGGTGAGCTCATCCTGTCAGCATTTGCCTGAGCACTATGCATATTTTCATTTGAGCCATTTCAAAATGGAGGGATCTCTATGAAATTAATATCGACTTTCCAGTGGAAACAAGCAAAGTGACAAAAGTAAACAGTCTAGAATGAAGCCTAAAGAAACGGACAAAGCTAAGGATGAGAAGGGCGGCAGTCCAGAAGAAAAGATAAACGAAACTAAAACGAAAGGCTCCAACGACAAGGTAAATAGCAAGGAAAACGACAAAACGAAGGATGCTAAAGAAAAGACTACTGAAAATAAAAACAAGCCTAGTAAAGAAAAAGTGTCCGAGGATAAACCCAAAGATAATAAAGAAAATGGTCCAGGAGACAAAACAAAAAATTCCAAGGATAAGGTCGTCGACGAAAAGGCCAAAACGGAGAAATCAAAAGAAAAGGGTGCCGAGGAAAAAGCTAAAACGGATAAGCCGAAAGGACCGGAAGAGAAAAAATGAAGAAGTGCATCATGCCAGTAACTCACAATCTGAAGCACTCTTAAATACTTTGTGGAAGCATCATATAAAGCTTCAAAAAATATATGTGAAATAAATGTTTACTCACCCCTACACATGCGGAAAACGTTTCATAACTTTCGAAACGATGACGAGTTTCGAAATGTACAAGTGCAAATATTATTGGGCAGCCATTTCGTTCTAAGGACAAAAGTTGCGATGAAACGGATGTTCTTGAAATATTTAAAAAGATGGGTAGTAACAGCTCAGAGGAGTCCAGGTACGTGATAGGTGGCGCTTTCGAGGCAGAAAGTAAGCTACAAAAGCGTGGCGAGGCACCGAATGCCTCAAAGCCCTGCTCAGTTCTCAGAAACGCCCACCGCCGACAAGTTGGAGAGATGACAACCACGATGTGTCTGAGTGTCTGATCGTCTGATTATCTTTCGGGTGCCCTATGAAGATTTTTTTGCATCGACCCATTACCAAGAGGCTGCTCCAATGACGGTCTCTGAAATTGCAACTTCGGAAAGCGACTCGGTATTCCCTCTTCAACTCTT